CTACTAAAATGTGTCTTTTGAATACAAATTCTTGTTTCAAAGGCTGTTCCCAAGGCTCAGCCACCTCCTGACTTTGCAGAGGAACAGGGGTTGCTGGGCAAAGGCATGGAGTGGTCTGGCTGGAGAGACTGAGGGTACAGCAAAACTGGGATCTAGACCTTCACATACCTAAATCAAAGAGTTTGAAGTTACTTTGGACAACAGGACTGATTTGTGGATGGAGAGGGAAAAATACTTAATTTCCCTTCCCACAACACCCCAAGGTTATTCTGCAATGAGCTGCGAGCCTGCACCCATTGCACTCCTGGAGTTCCAAAGAGGATCTGGAGCTGCAGGGACCCGTGGAGGGTGAGCACACAGCCCTGCAGGCAGTTGCTGCGAGTCAAACACAAAAGAAAGCATGCAGCTCTGCACTGGTACCAACAGAGAGATCCCATGGCAACTTTTATTCTGCAGCTCTCAAACAAACTGCTACAGCAGGGAGCAGGAGAGGTGGGAGGTGGGGGTAAAACCACAGCCATGAGACATCTCCCTCCAGGACACTTGTGCCCACATTTCTTGGCTCCTGTTTCACTGTTATTTGTAAAGGAGCTGAAGAAGCCAGACTTTTGCCAGCCTATCACTGGAGAAGGCACCAGCAGCCACAGATCCAGCTCAGCACAGAGCAGAAGCAGCTGTCTATTAAACCATTGGAGAACTTTGCAGTGCAGCTGCCTTTGCAGCATAAATAATTTCTGTTAATGGGCCAGGTTGGCAAATGAATTCAATTGTTTCCTCTCAAATAGGGTTTTTGCATCCAATTTTGACAGGGTGTTTGAAGTGAGGGCTCTCAACTCAATGCTTTTTGGAGAGGTTTTCCAGACACATTTCTGAAGAACACCTGGGAATTTGGTGACATTGCAGTATTTGTAAGATCTTGTATAACACAGTAACAAGAACCAACTACTAAGCATGACCTAGAACCATCTCCATCCCTGTGCCACAAGTATCTGTTAGACTTTGGATAAGCGAAGTGAAGGAAAGGAGCAGGACATATAGGGAAAAAACCCCAAGGAAACCAAAAAACCCAACAACCCCACATTTTCCTTTAGATAGCAAATACTCAGCCCAACCAGTTCCACAGTCAGGATGCTGGATGGTCAGTTAGAGAGTGGCATGAGCTGGCATTGCTGCTGAGACAAAAACATGCCCAGCTCTGGTCTTTGGCAAGTTACTCCATCTTTGACGCATGCCAAGTGATGAGAGGCCTTTGAGAGGGTGAAATCCACACCCTCCTTCAGCCTTTGGTACCCAGTTTGTGTAAGAGTAACAGGATCTGCTGGTGGGGTTTAGGTGTTAGAGGCAGCTTATGATTGCTGGGAAAACTCAGGTTTTGTCTCTTTGTTCATCAAGAACACTCTCAGTGAACATGGCAGGACTTTTCATGATGAGAGAAAGAGGAAAGAGTCCACCCCCATTAGCCAAAAAAACCCATAATAATCTTGTTGGACAAGTCAGCACAGAGTGGCCATTCAGGAGGGGCTGCAAAGAAACAAAGCTGAGTACCTAAGGGTTGGACTCATGATCCTTGTGGGTCCCTTCCAATTCAGAATATTCCATGACAATGGGACATGTATGGATGGCAGAGTATGTTTTCTTCTATATATTCACATTTTTAATCTGGTACCATAAGGTTTAATCACTTTTGCCTCAAATACCAAACAGCCTGTATTGAAGTGAAGGGAGAAGCGACTATCTGATGATGCATCGAACTCTAATTTATTGATCAATCAATCACTTTATATAACAGTGTTAATTAACTTCATGCATATTGCAAAATCCGAGCTCACAATAGGCTAACAGAGAAAACTCTAACCACTCCTTTTGTTTCACAAAACTTACAATTGTTTATCAAAAACAGAACCAACGTTCTCACTGTGATATGAAGGGTTCCCAAAACTTCTATATTGGTTCTCAGGGCGCTAGCTTTTCCCAGAGAAGGTGTTCTGCTTGTTATGGGAAGACTGTCTGAGAACTTTATTGTTTATAAAGAGAGTCTAATTGTTTATAGAAATCAGGCTGGGAACTGCTTTAGGAACTGCTTTACTTTTACCTTTTACTTTTCTCTCAATTGTATATCTTCATGGCCTTTTTCTTTAAGCCATTCTTGAACTAAACTCTCCACAAGCCTGTGTTGCTAAACCTCCAGCTACCAGCACAGCTTTTTAAACCAAGCTCTTGTTTAATGATAACTCTGGTATCATTGATTTTATTCATTTTAATAACCCCCTGGATTCAGTTTGTTCTGTGTTGCTGCATCCTCTGCAAGGGCAGTGATTTTGCACATTATAATGGTTTCTGCATTAAGCATCTTCTGTGGAAAATCAGAAAACTCCAGCTGAGCAAATTGCTGGGTGTTGTTGGGGCTGTGCTTGGTGCTTTGAAAAAAAGAAATCCATCTCTCCTGCAAGCCTTAACCAGGACTGGTGTGCATGCCAGCTGTCAGCATGGGGGAAGCAGGGTAATTGGAGCGATTAAAAGCTCACAATGGTTACAGACACGCTTTTGCATTTAAGGTGGAGTGAAACTGTGCTGTGACAGTGCCATGGCTGCTCTGGGGAAGGCTGTGGAATCCTAGCTGTCATCTCTGCAGCAGTATTTCACATTCTGGAACCTTGACCCCACCAGTTGGCAGCTACATCAACACCTCCAGACATGCTGGGGAGCAGCAGCACAAAGGGATGGATGTGCTGACCCCCAAGCTGTGCTAAGGAGCTGTGCTTTAAAAATATCCTCCACTCGAATATATAATGAAATAGTGGCAATTTTAGTAGCTAATGTGAGGTGAACACAGGAGGGCTCTTATTTATTGTTGCAAACAGTGAAGGGAATGAGAAATTTCCACATATATTTGATAGGATTCAGTAAAATCTCAGAGATAGGGATCCAGAATCTCTGTAGAAATCAGGACCATGCAGAGAGCAATGACATTACAGTTCACTTGAATTACTGCACCAGTGGGATTTTGCAATTTATCTGCTGCTTTGCCCCTCAAAGGATTGAGCCAAGCAATATGAGTGTGCAGGACATCTGAATATCATCTAAGTTTTCCAGAAAATAGTTATATCTTCCTGGAGCATAAAGGAGACCTTGAGGAAAAACAAACAGTGCTGTCCTCTCCCTCCAAAGGCTTTCTTTATATGCACATTTCACACTGGATAAAAATAGCCTTAAACCCTGGGTTAAGTAAGCTTCTTATATTGGAAAAACCTGTTTCAAGTGGACAAAGGAGACAGAAGTGGCACACCATAAAAAGGCCTTTGGTTTCAGTGTCTGCAACTTGAAACACCACCCTGGTCTCATCTTCTGTGTCCCAGAGGGAACCAACCAACACTGATTGCAAAGAGCAGAGAGTAAGCATGAACAGGGTGTGGGCTGTCTACTTCTCCTTTCTGCATTTCAAGATCAGGCTAAGTTCCTTTTCAAGACTAACTGGAAACTCTGAAGAAATATTCACAAGGAAAAGACAAAAATCCATTCTGTATCTCTCATCAGTACTCAAAACTTACAAGCTGGTCAAGATCTGCACTATAGAAGAATCAACTGCAGTAATTTCCATAAGTAGTAATTTTGAAACTGTCTCACACACACATAGCTTATTTGTGTTGTAATTATTTCTGAGTTACAGTTCAAAGGAAAGTTGAAGAAAGTCAGAGAACAGGATATGAGACTTCCTGGTGCATTTGCAAACTGCAATGCATAAAGCACTTGAGCTCTGTAGATTACTCCAAAGGGAATGGGGAGGGGACTAAGGAAAGCAAGCCCATTGTTTGGCTAAACTTATTAGTCAAGTGTTCAGAAACAAAAGAGTGAAAGAAGAAGAGCTAAGCAAGATATTCAGAGACTGCATGCTATTGCTCAGTTCTGCTGGTCTGTTCCTCTTGGTTACATTTCAAGCAAACTTGGTCACTTCAGTGTGCCTCAGTTTCCCCTTAAACACCCCACACTGCCCCAGAATAAGAAGTCAGAAGGTTATTCATTTCTCATAATTAGCCACACAAAGATTATACCTTGGAGGATTCCGGCCTGAGCCCTTAAAACTGATCCTGGTAGGACTAGAAACAAAAGCTTTATTATTATTATTTCTTATTAGTTACTACCATTCTCCTCAGAAGCCTTGTGGTCAAACCCAGAGTTTCTGTGAGAGCTCCTGGGGTAGATGCAGGACCAGCAGCTGGGTGACAGAGGGAATTCATCACTGTCCTACAGCAAGCCATTCCCACACCTGAATCCATGCCTTTGGAGATGGAGACCAGCTTAAAAGTGAAATTCAGTGGATCCCTCACCACACCAACTTAATGCTACAGCTCTGGAGGCCAAGCTCCACCACTGGCTGTGAATAGTTCAAGGTCTAGAAAAGAATCCACTTTGCTGTATAACAAATTCCTTTGATAAAACTGAAGGCAAGACAAAACCAGGAAAAAGTGAAACTGGAAGAAGAAACTAGAAGGAAAGAATACATCAATCCAGCATTAACTACTCAATAAAGAATTAAAGTAATAAAATCACTACAGAAATCACAATCTTTAGGCAGAATTAGGTACCAATACTGATGATGGGTGGCTGTGGAAAGTGCTGTACCCTCACAAGGTTCAGTCAGAGAACCCCCACCTGCCTTGAACCAGCACAAACACATGCAGCTGTTCTTTCTCAACATAATATTTAGAACATTAACACATCTCCATAAAGCCCTTTAAACTAAGGTTTTATATCCCAACCTGGTGCAAAAACTGTATTAGCACTGAGAACTGTCAGAGAGACATTTCAGGGTTCCATGTGGGTTCTCTTTTCCCCTCTTTTTTTCTGTTAAAGGAAATATCTTGGAAACCTTGGAAAGGACAGGCCTCCTATGTCTGTTTAGTAATGAGCCATGGGCATATCTGACCATTTCTTAGTACATTGAAAGGGATTTCTCCTCCAAGAACAGATAAAAAGGAGTTAGGCCTAATTGAACAACATACCTGAATAAGTCAGAAGCAAGAATGCAAAACTCTGAAAACTGCAGATCTTCCCTCAATTTTCTCTTGGACTTTTCCATGGAGATTTTGCCAGCATGGAACAATCCTTTGAAGCAATGGAACAAATGTGTGAGTCACTTTAAAAGTTCTCATTTTAGGCCAAAAGCTGAATTAGTTGCCCACTCTAATGGGGACAGATATTAGGCTGAAACCCATGGCTCCACTGATTCAGCACATTGGTGTCTCAGGAGACAAAATGTTCCTGTTGTCCAGGCAGGCTGGAATTGCAGGAGAGCAGGGAAGCTGTCCTGCAATGCTTTACAGGGCCTAAAACTGCAAGCAAAGAAAGCATAATTTTGCTAAAAAGACAGAACTGAAGTGGGAAACAAAAACTTACTTGCAGTCTTAATTTATTTCAAAACACGGACATAGATTCATCTGGATTTAACAGCTTTCTAGAGGAAATGGGCCATGCCTCTTCCCTGAGAAATCAGCAGTGATACTGAGCAAGTGAAGGCACACAGCCAGTGTCAAACTGTACCTTGACACACAATTAATAAAACAATGCCCACAATTAAGAAAACACACTTGGGGAAACCAAGGATTTTAAGGGCACCTGTGTTAAAGGGCAAAAAAAGGAGAGAATTTACAATTGGAACATGATTATTTGGCTCAATGCAAGGGTTATTAGGTGAAACTGTGTGACTTCTATTATGGGAAAGGCAGATTAAAGCATAATAATGAACTCACTGGGTTCAGAAAATTACTTGTAGGGCAAACAAAAGAATGAAAGGATAAAAAAAAAAGTACAAAAAAGATTCAACAGCCATCACATTCAAGGTAACACAAAGAGATAACACAGGCAGTGTTTCCACACACCCCACCAGTGCTTTCCCAAAAACAGAGCTGTGACTTGTCTCCCTCAGACTAAACAGGAAACAAGAACTGGTTTGGACTGGAGCCACAAATTCACAGTGAAATGATTGCTGGAGAAAGCATTTGGTACCAGCTTCAAACCCCACCAGAAGACAGAGATTGCTCATCTAATTTCTTTTTTCACATATGAGCAGGAATTTCATTAAGATTTTAAACCCTGCTTTCTGTGGGGTTTCACCTGGAAAAGCACATGGCACTGGTCTTTAGGAATTAGTAGGATGGTGTGTATGTTACAACGATGAAAGTGCAGCAAACCAAAATGACAGCAAGCAGAAAGAAGATTTAGCACAGGAAAATACAGACTGAAAATGAAATTCCTAGACAACACATTTGATGCACCACTATTTAATATTTAAATCCCCAACCTTCCTATTTATTCCTGTTGAAATGCATAATGTGAAAATAATTTTGACTTTTTCCTCCCCAAAGGCAAATTCTCAGCTTTGAAAATTTTAGCTCTGAAGCTGTCATACATCTGCTGTCTTTTTACACAAGCGTTTCACTAGAGATAGTCAGACAATGTTGGTTTCCAACCTTTATTTTCACTTTTTGCATTTAGAACTGAGCCCATGCCTGCTATTAGGGAGTTCTAGATGCTCTCCAGTCAGAAACCCTAAATACTGTGGTGTGTGAGAAACTGCCACACTGGTAAACCCATTGCTCCTAATGAGAACAGTCTACTAGCAAACCAGGATTTATTTATTGCAGACATTATGAATAATTTCTAACAACAAATCCATCTGAGAATTTTGCCATTTGCCAGCAAACAAAGGAAGTGGCAGGATTTCCCAAATTAATTTTAATGCATTATTTACCAAAGCCTCTTGTATAATGAGGTAGGGAACAATTCTCTGCTGACAGACAGAACTAGAGTAACAATCTAAACTGATATTTTTCATCTTCTGTTTCTACAAAATGGCAAGGACTAGAAACATTCATATTTGTATCCTTCATCACCTTTATAAACACTGTGACCCAAAGCCTTATATGTTCATTAATATGATTAATTAATGTGCTTATATGCCACTTAATACATAGCATATAATGAAATATTTACTGACATAGCACCCCATCGCTAATCATACATTTTGTTAATAAAGAAAAAAGTGGTGCTTGCAAAACTAAAGACAAATTAAACCAAAACATCTCTAAAATCTTCAAAAGACCTTATCAGAGCATACTTTTCAGACAGAGCATTTCCTCCAGCAGCCTCACCCCAAGGCCTGCTCAAAGCCAATCAATCACTCCCCACCCTCCTCCTCATCACTTCCTTTTAAGCAATAGCTGGAAATAGCCCCATCTGCTCTGAAAATCAAAGAGCAGCAGCTGGTGATCAGCCCCTTGTAGAGAAGCCTGTGAGACTTAAGGATATTGTCCTGAGCAACTCAGTCAAAATTAATTATAACCTAGATGGAATTAATTAGAGGCTATCTTTATTTCATCTCCATTGTTGTGCAGACAATTGTTTGCTGCTCCTCACATGACTTGGTAATTACAGTAAGATGAAACCACTTAAGATGAAATGTCCTGAATGGGTTTTGATTCAGATTTACAAAAGTGTGTTTGCAGGGCTGGGGGGAGAAGAGTGCTGTTTGTTAAATACAGATCTCCACACACACACACACACACATAAAAGGTTTGTCAGCTTACTATTGCTCAGTTGGGGCAGCAAAACAGAAGGTTTTGTTAATTAAAAAAAACCAAAAGAGTAACTAGAAACAAGTTATCTCTAGCACAGAGAAATTATGGTGGAATTCTGTTGTAAAATTCAGATTTTAGATTCAGAAAGCCTTGCCCTCCTATTTGAAGGTGTAAGAGGCTTCCTGAGATCTGTTACATGGTACCAGTAGTTTTATCTTGCACTGTGGGAGGGAGTTTCTATAGGTACTTGAATTCCAAGCCAGATCAAATGGTTCTAATCAGTATTTTTTCAACCTTTTATCAAGGCAGGCAAGTGCCTGCACGTGATGCAGAGGCTTCCCAGATGGTTTTCAGCTAAAAGCAAAGAGTCTTATCAGGACTGCAAAGAGACAGTGGCAGATTTCTATTTGGTTAGTAACCACTGCTCTCCATATTAACATCTTTGATTAGATTACAGGAATGAGATTCTCTAGTGTGATAGTATAAAAGCCATCTGAGAACAGCAAAAAAAACCCCAAACCTTGCATTTAAGGGAGGAAAACATCCATCTAGTTGTAATCTACTGAAGTAATTTCTCCCTAGCAGCATAAAAAAGCTTAATTATTCTAAAACAATAATGTCTGTTGCACATGGGCTTGGGGGAGGCTAAATGGAAGCTGACCCTCCCTGTGGACATGAGTGCTCCATGTTTCCAGGGGTAATAAATAACATATCCCCTGCTGGAACCAGCAAATGCAGTGCCTGGCACTCCTGGGAATTGGCTAAACTGAGCACAAAAGTGGAGCTGAGTGATTAATTCATGCGGTGCCTGCTATGAGGAAGATCCACAGGCTCTGGGTCATGGGGACATTAATTTTAGAGTGTGAAATCCTATGAAATTATCATGACTTTCACATGTATAATACATGAGGAGGCAGGGAGGCTCAGCTTCATTCTGTCTCTTCTTACAACAGTGGCAGTGGCTCATGAGTGAATTTTTGCTTCATCGGTCATATGACAGCCTCAGGAGAAGGAAACAGCAAAGACAAAATGGTTCTTGATAGCAGCAAACTGTTCTAAATGTGCTCAGCTTTCTCATTTCTGAAAAATCCACAGGAGAATGTGTTAAAAATCAACAGGAAAACCATCAGGTGGTTTTTGGGGCAGGTAAGTCACAGGCATTGCAGTGGGAGCCCTCCCAGGCATTCCAGAGCAATCCAAGACTTTGCTGAGGTAATTCCATTTAAAATGAACACTCTGTATCCATCCCTGGTTCTACAGCAGTGATTCCACATGGAGGTACAGAGCTACACCCAGCAGTTGGTCTTTGGGTACTAAAATATTGCAGTTATACAACACACACACAAAATGCTCAAAAACTTTAAAACTCAGAAAGTACACAACTCTCTTGTGGTTGTCACAGATATGCAAGATTAACTAAGTGTAGCAATAAATGAAATGAATACACATAATGTCCTTAGACCTTAATAATCCTGTGACAATCTGACTTGATTTCCAAACCAATTTTCCCATTTTTTATCCTCTGGAGAACAATTGCTGTCTACCAAGTTGCTTTCCAGAAACACTGCAGTAAAATATTCAATCTCCTGTGAGCAGAAAAAGGTCATCATGGGCATTATGTGCAGTGGAGCACAGAAAAACCCAATTCATCCAAATAAAATGAATTATATGTGTTTATTTAAAAGCGATGACTTCTCATTATGTAATTGGTTTAATTAATAGGAATTTTAGTCTAAATCCAAAATAGCAACAAAAGATTCTTTGTAAGCTAGCAAAAAAGAAAAAAAAGTGATTTATTTATGTGTGCAAAATCCTAAATATTTCACACACCACTGTTCAAAGGATCTTTCTGTGATTTCAGCCTCATTTTAATCTTACCAGCATAAGACACTGTTTACAATTCCTCCTGCTCTTGAAGAGGGTTTACAAACCTTGTGTCCCAACCAGCCATACTATAATTTCCCACATTTAATTAGAAAATAGATGAGTTCAGTTTATTTGGACTGGTACTTGAAGTTAGCAATTAAGTGCTTCACTTAATAGGAGTGTGTGCTGTAAATCTGGCCTTTCATTACATGCACAGCTCCCCACACAAAAGGTTTCTGGGAGCAGACAGAAGCTTGCAGGCATTGCTTTAACAAAAATACATTATTTAGGAATATTGTGATGTATTTCCACTGCCCCTGAGGGACTTACACTAATACAGCCTATTATCTGTCCTTATTACATTGAACTAAGTATGCAATTAATTGGCAATCTGTAGTGGATTATGGAAACATTCCAGATGGATGGGGGTTTATCACAGCATTTTGCTGCAGCAGATACTGTAATTTCCTAACTTTGGGACACTGACTTTACAAGAATTTATTTCTTTGTCACATAGGTCTTGTGAGCAAGAATTTCCATTTCCTTTTACAGCAGAGGCAAGGGCTGGAGATGCAGCACAAAGCACTGTGAGATAACACAGTACTGCTTCAGCAGACTGTCTGTGCTCACACACAATGGGATGTGTGGGCTGCACCTCCCTCA